ATGCCATATCCTACGCAGCAATAATTCAAGACATATACACCATAAGAAGCACATACACTAATTTCTATCAAACTGAAAAAGTAGGAATTATATTTAAACAAAATCTCTTCCAAACTGGTAACGTAGAAAAACCACTGAGTGGTAAGCAAAAAAAATAAACACTGAAATAACTGAAGAAAACTAGTTTAAAAAGAAATACGATTAACAAATAGGAATCACGATGTAGGATTACCTCTCTCCCAAATATCAAATAATTTATTTTGCTCTAAGGTAGATTACACAGCAGACAGAAAAATTAATTATATCAGTATAGTAATAAAATGCAGGCTTTTGAAATTTGGTCCATTTACATTTTGCTTATCACTTTAGCCTGCCATATCAGAAAGAAAAGTTGTGTGTCCCTCGATCTTTGGATATATAAACCAGAGGAATTACATTCTTCAGCACAAAAGCAAGATTTTGAGAAATCTGTGCTTTTTTTTTTTTGGTTAAGCATATGTAGTTTATTACTTTCATTCATGCAAAAGCTATGAATTAATCCCATTCCAGATGAGGATTTTACCATAAAATTTAAATAGTCAATTTAGTATAGAACAATGGGAAAAAAAAATTAATCCACATATCTTGCTACTGAACCCTACTCAGTCAAAATCACCCTTTTACACATTTGCCTTCTTAGACACAGGCCTAACAATTCATTCAGAAAAGCTAAAAGACATACAAATCTAAAATAGAACAGATCTGAAAACTATGCTTACCTGCTTTTACGTAAGAGGTTCAAACATTTATAGTTACATATAACCTCCAAAGAACACAGACACTAAATTGTTAAACCACTGCAGACCTGACAGTAATACTAAAGAAAAATGAGTAATATCACTACGCTTATATTTCCTAAAAATGTAAGTGCAAATCAGAAGTTGCAGTTCAAATGTGCAGAAAGCTTGAAATGAGTAAAATAATTCAGGTGTATAACTATTAATATTCTATGTTAGCCACATAATACATAAATATAGATTGGAATTTTAACTAGGGAAAATGATTTTTTTTGATGTAAGAAGAGATGAATTCAATGGGGTTATATATCTGAAGGAGCAGAGAATCTTCCAACATTCTGTCATTGCCAAATCGTGCCTCAGGCACCGTATTCAATTGGCAAATAAATTTGCAAAGCAATCACCTGTACAATCACAAACAAAATATATTCACACTCTGAAGTTACAGAACCTTTCATCAACATCTCAAAGCATGTTACATGGAGCACACATTCTCTCCTTATTGTAGCAATAGGCACAGAAGACCTGCCCAAACTCCCCCATCTCCACATCAATGTACTCGTTTTTAAGCAGAAACCATATTTCCCAAATTTGATGCTCATTCTCAGGACTCTATAGAACAATCGTCACCTATCGTATTATGTTTATTTGACATGTATTATAGTAGAATTATATATATGCGAGAAATCCAGTTTGCAAAGATTACAAATGTATCAAGCTGCCAGTAAACAGTTCCTGTATCTACATACAACGGTGCAAGTCATTGGTGTCATAAAGGCACTTGTCTTTCACAGACAGTGTTGTCTTCTCTAATCAGTCAAAAATAGATCTAAAAATATTTATTTTAACATCCAAACTGGTTTTTATTCCTTAAAGTGGTGCAAATCATCATCTATAGAACAATAATTCATTAATTCAACATGAAAGATCTAAGTGCAAAGTATCCATACTTAAATATATCTTTATAATTAATTAATTTTAATGCCATGCTCTCAAAAAAATGCCAAAAAACATGCTACAGTAGAAATGTAATTGGCACTAGCAGCCACAAATAAAAAGGTAGGTGCATACAATAGTACAAGCAAGCTTATTTACTAAGTTACTAAAACGATGAGTTGCAAGGAGAGACATTTGCCACAAGTCTTTTCCAAGACATGCCTGAAGCCACACCTGACCAGTATGAAATAACACGCTTTTAGATCATTAGGGACATCTTTGTAGCTAGCTATGTGATTTTACAAAAATAATTCCAAAATGCTCATTCACGTCAAAGTGAATTCTGCTTCTGTTTTCACTGAATGTGAAAAGACAAGTCAAAACCAGATCTAACAACTGAGTTTAAAAAGACACCTAAGCAGCCACTAAAGTTCAGTGCAGTTTTCAGGGGTTTACAGATGGCGGTGTAAAATCCTTGAAATCCCATTTATCTGGCCAGTATATATGTACAGATTTCCCTCTCCAAGTCTCAGTACCTTAAAGCAATAATTTGAAAGTTTCCACCAACAAAAGACTTGTTTTTGCAAATCAAAGGGCTCAGGTATTACAAAAATATAGACATAATTGGCTTTGCTATGTAAATGCTAATTTGCAGCTGGCATTATAGCTCCATTAAGTGAGAAATCTAAACACATAGAAAGGTGCGATGGATGGAATAAATCCAGTACAACCCAAAGGCCAGCAGGCTTTCTCCCCTTAATACTTTGTTGTAACAGCACATTAAGAGTATATTCAGACTGCTGTGAAGTTGCTGGATGGAGCCTCATGCTTGAATACTAATTTCCATGTCCAGTCTCCTCTAGTTTTGTCAGTACTGTACCACAAGGCAGTTTCTGCATCTTTGGAAAATCTGCATTCACTGAACATTATGCAAGGTTATTAAAACAAAAACAGGAAAAAAAAAGAAGCCATTTGATCACGTATTAAGCTAATCCTTCAGAGAATTGCACTTCTTTGCTTATAGCAGTGACCAGAATTGCTGATGTGTACTGACAGTTGCCATGGCAAGTGGGTGACTGCGTGGGATAGCAGACATATAGCCAAGTCAACTGCTTATGCAATCTCTGTGATTTAAGCAAGCACAGAACACACCACTTTTATTATGTGCTGCCAGTGATCTGCATAACGTGCCGAAGGAAAAAATGTTGTTCTGTGTTAGGCCATGGCTGTTTCAGTATTCCCATTCATCTGTTTTCATGTCCAGATAGTAAAGAATATTCTGTGCAAGCTTTACTGCTTGCTTTCTGGCAGCCTTACACCGCTCGTCACCTTGTGGATCTACAGCATCAAGTGCTAGAAGTTGTTTTGTAAGAAGTTCTTCCAATCTCATGTAATTTTTATCTGTTCTGTTTCCATCAAATGAAATCACCTCCTGCTGAATTTGGGACAAGTTTCCAAGTACATTCCAAACTGCTTTATGAGACTGATGTTCGGCAGCAGTTTGCTCAGAATACATTTGCCTTTTTTCAAGGGCTTCCTTCAAATCAATATACGTTATAAGAGTTTGAACTTCTATTACTGCTCTTCTCCTGGCTTCTCTAATACAGGGGTTTTTGCCTGGACTCACCTCATCTAAGTGGGCAATTAATCCCTGTAATTCTGCTTTGGATCCCAAATACAAATCAGAAGCATTCTCTGTTTTTAAAAGTAAAGAATTAACTTCCTTCATTTTCTTGCGAATCTCTTCTATTTTTAGAATGGACTGATTTTGTGCTAAATCATAAGCGTGAGTAGAATTTGCTTCTTCTTCCAAGTCCAGGTATTTCTGCAACTTATTGATCTCTTCCACTACTTCCTTTCTGTAATTTCTTATTTCTGTGCGACCACAGACATCTAAAGCATCCAAATCAGCAATGAGGCCTGTAAGCACACAGGATAGATGCCTGCAGGTATCATTACTACTCACTCCCATTAGAAGCGCAATAAGAGTTCCTCTTGCTTTGTTCACATCACACATTACAGAGTTAATTTTGGAGACAGAAGGATGTGCATCATTAGAGAGTGGCAGGGACAGCTGTTGCTTTACACAGCTTTCTATAATCTCCTGAACAGCACATACTTTTGTCAGAGTGCGATATCTTGCTTTGCGTAGAGAAACTTTCCCTCCGGTTTTCACCTGGGTAAGCCTCAGCACAATGTCCTGAATACCTTCTTCAAATTCGTCACTTATACAGTTACCTCCTTTGTAAAAAGGTGTAATCTCACGTTCCACAAGTGACTGCGCCTCCTTGAATATAGCCTCTATTTCCAGTCTGCGCGGATGGTTTGCATTTTGTTCCAGTTCCTTAAGCAGCCTCTCTGTTTCCTGAGCAGCTCGTTTTCTGGCTTGCTGAATATCTCCCTTTCCTTCAGTGTCTACAGAATCTATTTCAAAAAGCTGTTTAGTAAGACTTCTTTCTAATTTCTTGTAATCTCGATCAGTAGACAGACCACTGAAGACAACCACTTGTTGTTCAATCTCTTTGACTTCTTTCTGTATTTCATGCAACCGTTTTATGGATGGGTGTTGGTTACCCATATCCATTCTCTTCTTTTGTCCAGTTTCAGATGAACTACAAGGAAAGCGAGAACAAGACCTGCGATAAATAAAGTGCTATGCAACCACATGTCACAACTTTGACAACACCCTGAAGCACTTCAGCATTACAGCTATTTCAAATATCGCTAGCAATAGGAATAAACCACTTGGCTGACATTTCACAGCGACTCCTCTGTTGTTTCACACCTCTTTCTCTCACCCAGGCTGCAGGGGTGATGCCTTAGTTAGCACTCGACCGGCTCTTTGCATTTACCCACAACCTTCAGCCCCTCCTTGCCCACCTGCCCTGCAGCTGAAGGCATCGCACAACAAACCCGACCCCCGCGGGTCAGAGGAAAAACAGCGGCAAAACCCGACCGCCGCCAGGGTGCCACAACCCCAGGGCAGGGCTGCCTTCCCCCGCACAGGCCCCACAGCCGAAGCTCCCCGCTCAGTTCCCGCCACCCCCGGCGGCCCCTCCAGGCCCCTGCACGGTAGCAACCTGCGCCTGGCGACGCGGCCCGACGAAGCGGGGAGGGGAGATGACAACGGGCCGCTCCGGGGGAGCCCGCGGGCACCCGAGGAGAGGCTCTCCCCCAACCGCCTCCCCCCGCAAACGCCCTCAGCGCCCGCAACGCTCCCCACCGGCTCCGG